ATCTTGTGGACGGCAATCTGCACCGCAAAGACCGGCCCATAGTGGACCGGGGGAAAGGGGGCGCTCATGGGCACCGAGAAGAAGGACTGAAAGTTGAAGCCGCCGCCGCCGCTCCTCTTCTTCCGATAGGTAAGGCCACTTTCTCCATAGTAGTCGGCTGTCACCTCCTCCTCCTCCTCCTGCCCCTGCCTCTCCTCGACCACCTCCTCGGTGCGCGTCAGCACCGTCCGCCGCTCCTGCTCCAGCAGGTGCTGGTGAACGCCCACGTAGGGCGCCGCCGCCGCCTTCTCCGCCTCGGAGAAAGCGGCGGAGGTGGTAGCGTTCGATTTGGGCTTTTCAGCTGTAGAGGGCCGCGTAAAGCGGACCTGATTGCCCTCCTCGTCGCCGATGACCACCTCCTCCTCCCCTTCTTCTGCTTCCGCGCCCTCCTCGGCGGGCAACAAAGTCCGGCGAGGAAACGCGACGCCCAGGTGCTCCCGGAGAATGTGCTTCAAGAGGGTGGCCCGCTCGGTGACCGCCCGCTTCGGACAGCCCTCCCAGCGGCAGAAGAAGGGCTTGAGGGACTCGGAGTGGGTCCGCTGGTGGAGCAGCAGCTTCCCCGGCGCCGGGAAGTACTTGCCGCAGCCCGGGTGGCCGCAGCGGTACTTCAGGGGCGGGCGGCTCGGGTCCCGGGGCTTGTTGACGCGCAGCGCCTCGAGGGAGGCCTCCTCCCGGGCAAGGACCTTGGCGCGCTCGCCAATGTACGGCAGGGCGCGGCCCTTCTCCGCCTTGGAGAGCGCCGGCTGAGCGGCCTTGGGCACGCCGTAGTGCTTGGCGAGCACGTGGCGGGCGGCATTTGCCCGTCGGCGGAAGGTCTCGCCGCACTCCGCTGGATCGGCGGTGGTGGTGGTGGCCGTTTCCTGAGCATCTTCGGGTAGGTCTTTGGCAGCCACCACCACCGGGAATTTGCAGTAGTACGGCTGCGTCTTAGTGTGCGAGCGGTGGTGCATGCGAAGCGCGTAGAGGCGCGAGTAGACCTTGTCGCAGCGGGGAAACTGGCAGACGTAGCGATGAGCTGGTAGATCGGCGCAGCGGGGAAACGGGCAGACGTAGCGATGAGGTGATAGACCGCCGCCGCCGCAGGTGGATTGAGATAGCTGTGGTTGTTGCTGTGGCTGTGGCTGTTGATCATCATCGGCTAAGGGCTCAGAGTTTGGCGGGACCGGGAGCAGCTGTTCTGCCTCCTCCTCGATGATGGGCTCCTCTTCTTCCACTTCTATTTCCATTACCTCTTCCTCCTGACTGTTCTCATCCTCTTCCTCCTCGATTTCCTCATCGTCTTCATTAGCTCTTCTCTTTGGTTTAGGCCGTTTTGAGGATGAAAATGCTGTTGCTGCTGTTATTTTACGTGACGGTTCCCCGCCAATTTGAATGCGCTTCTTNTCATCCTCATCGTTAGCTCTTCTCTTTGGTTTAGGCCGTTTTGAGGATGAAAATGCTGCTGTTGCAGCTGCTGTTATTTTACGTGACGGTTCCCCGCCAATTTGAATGCGCTTCTTCGCCCGCCTCACCGCGTCCAAGGCGCTCTCCTCCTCAGCCACCCGCTCGCGGACGACACCGACAAACTGATGCGCCTGGGCGCGCTCCTCGGCGCTCAGCTCGGGCAGCTGCTCCCGCTGGACCTTAAAGTGCGACGTTCGGATGTGACGAAGGGCCGCCGGCCGCCTGCTGAAGTACTGGGCGCAGCCGGGCCAGGTGCAGTGGTACGGCTTCAGGTTGAGGTGGCCTCGGTGGTGCTGGCGCAGTTGGTCGAGCTTCGCAAAGCGCTTCGAGCAGCGCAGAAACTGACAGACGTAGTGGAAGTGGGCGGTGGTGGTAGTAGTGGTGGTTTCATTGTTGGCTGAAGAAGATGAGGTATCATCAGTTGTCTTTGGTNTCGCCCGCCTCACCGCGTCCAAGGCGCTCTCCTCCTCAGCCACCCGCTCGCGGACGACACCGACAAACTGATGCGCCTGGGCGCGCTCCTCGGCGCTCAGCTCGGGCAGCTGCTCCCGCTGGACCTTAAAGTGCGACGTTCGGATGTGACGCAGGGCCGCCGGTCGCCTGCTGAAGTACTGGGCGCAGCCGGGCCAGGTGCAGTGATACGGCTTCAGGTTGAGGTGGCCTCGGTGGTGCTGGCGCAGCTGGTCGAGCTTCGCAAAGCGCTTCGAGCAGCGCAGAAACTGACAGACGTAGTGGAAGTGGGCGGTGGAGGCGGTGGTGGTGCTGGTTTCATTGTTGGCTGAAGAAGATGAGGTATCATCAGTTGTCTTTGGTTGTTGGGCTGCTGATGTGGTCGATGATGGCATCCTCTGCTTTCGCCGATTTGAGGCTCCAGTTGCACTAGACGAGATTCGCACCACTTTGAGCTTTCGCTTGTTGCCTCTTTGTTCCCCTGTATTATTACTTGTCTCCTCTTGATCCTCCCGGTTTGCCCGGGTTTCCAGGTGGACGGCGCAGATGTGCTCCAGCAGGCGCTCCTCACTGTCGCTCGTCCAGTGGCAGTGGTTGCAGGCAAAGGGATTGGTGGCGCCGGTTGGTTGTTGCTGCTGATTCAGTGTTATCGTCTGCTGGCTGTTTCCAGGGCTGTTGCTGTTGAGGATAATCTGAATCGTCGAGCTGTTGCTGGTATTTGACTGCTGCTGCTGCTGCTGCTGCTGATTATCGTGATCATCTGAAAAAGAAGAAGAAGGTGGTATGCTCGCAGGTGTGAGCTCCATAATGTCGCCGGGACTCGGTGGCCGCATGATCCGCATTATGGTCGGTCGGGCGACAGTCATTCGCAGAATGGCGGGCTTTCGGCTGCCTGGCGAAGGCCTTTCACCAGGACCACTACCCGAGGATTCCATGGTGATGGTGGTAGTAGTGATGGTGGTGATGATAACCGAGGGTGGCCAAAGAAGAACTTCGAGAAAGAAAAGATGGCGGTTGCCGAGTTCTATTTCTCTCGTCCGGCCAGAAAAGACAGCCAGTCAATGATGTAAACACAACACGCGCGCGCCCTCCCGAAAGGACGTGTCACCGAAAGTGGAAGCGGCAGGCGTGCACAAACAGCTGCTGCTGCTGCTGCTTTTC